GGTTCCTGTCACTCTTGCTACATCACCTTGCATTTCGAATGTGCAAAGGATGTACCATAACTGACAAAGTCAACTGCCAAACGAGTCAGCGTGTTTTGAATCGCTGGTGTGTTGTTACCGGGCAGAAGTGGAGTTGCGCTTGGATGTCGGAAGTTCGTGCTAACAAGGAGCAGGCTGTGTTCTGGGAATACGCTAAGAAGTCTTATCCCATGAGCTTTTGTGTTGTTTTTTCGTTTCCATTGTATTCTCGTGAAAATCGCTAACAATTCACCCTTAGAATGCCTAACGCTAAATTTGACTTGACAAGAACTTGATTGTTAGTAAATGGTATGCCTGAGAAGTAAGTAAACTTCCAAGCAATTCACTCAAACATCAAGGTCTATAGCTCCATCTCCCCCTTCGTTTACCACCACGAGCGGAATTTGACAAGGTTGCCCGGTTAAATCCTTCCTTTTTAATTTTGCGATGGACAGAATTCTATGCAGCATCGCAGAGCTTCCGCTGTGGACCTTTTCCCGGATGATTATCTTCGTTATTTGGAGTACACTGGTAATATGGCAACTCCTCCTAAGACGCTCAAGACGTTCCATACAACCTGAAGCTATCCCAAACAGCTTCAGGTAAACTCTCCATTAAAATGCGAGGTCTTACTACAAGACCGTCAATGAGATAGCTCCACACACGCTCGGAAGAGATCAGTTAAAAATTGGTGATCACTTTGTCTATCTTAGGAGTTGTTAGTGCTCAACAGTACTGACAGAAAATATCAACGCGTATCCGCAAAGTTCTGATGGCGTCCGCTAACCTAAGTCACTTATTTTAACGCGAGCTGTCTTTTCTTAAAACACTGAGCCAGGACCATCGTTCACGCAGTTCTATTTTTCGGCTGCGAGCTCCAGAAGACGTCTCAAGACTAAGTGTATTTGACCATCGTTGGCTTTGTTGCATCACCAGAATACGTTGAGAATGAATCGCCAACGGGGAGATTTACCGAAGGATCTTCTCTTCAATCTTATGTGGCCTCTGAGTACCACCTTCTGGTTACTAATCTCCCTAGCCCGTTTATTCAATGAAATAATCTTTCTATTCACGGCTGTTCACCTGCGTGTAGTCTGAAGATGCACCCGGTAACACAGTTCCACCAGCCGTAATATTCTGAGGCCTCCGGAAATATGCGTAAGGACACTTCATTTAACATTTTTCTACTGGGAAATGTAGCTACCCAATTAGCAAAATTTGTTGACTTTTTCCATTACCTAGCTAAGAAAAGTAATATTTCGTAGAAAATCAACTTTTGTAACAAAAAATATCTGCACTTATCGAGCCATCTAAAGTGTTGTCAATCTATGTGGGTCATCTCTTACCGGTTCAAAATAAAAGCAATTACCATCTTGTTTATTATTGTACTTCAGATGGCTGGGACACAAACAATCGATACAAATCATGAAGACATGATTGTAAGTTCTACTCATCACTCTACCGTTCGAGCTGTTGATTTGTTCATATAATTCTAGCATGATGCCCAATTGGACTATTATGGCACCACGTTGGCCACTGCATCTTCGGATGAGTCCATTAAAATCTTCGATGTGCGTAACAAAAAGCAAGTATTGTTGGCCACCCTGCATGAGTAAGTTTCTTTTTCAGCTGCCGCTTGAGGTTTGGTTCAGCGGTTTAATTCGCCAATAATATATATTATATATTTCACACTTGTCTGAGGACAGACTGTCAAACAAATCAGGGTGCAATAATCTTTATGAAAAAGAAAAACGTTCCCTTATTGGCTTGTGGGCTGAATACTGCCAGATTGGCCAGGCCAAGGCAGGTGGATTTTCTTGAGAAATCTGCAACCGGAGCCTCTGGCTAGCCAAAGTATGACCCACAAGGCAGCAGGGCGGTTTGCGAAAACCGCAATCCATTGGGGGCCGGTGTTCAGTTCATCGGATCATATGCCCTTTGGACGGGGTCAAACGTCCAAGGTGCCCAATTGAGCAGATGACCACTGCCACAACCAGGAAGTTGTAGGTGTGGTTCGTACGCCTCCTCATGGAATCAGGGTTTTCGGCCAACTCCCCTAGGTGAATTACCAGTGATCCGCCAACCCGGATATCTGCTTTTCGTCCTCTCACTTTGGTGGGAAAACACCTCCGCCGCGAGAAGGCAGTGCGTAGGGCTTCTTAAGCATAGGCTATTCGAGACGCTTGGTCGTATGGGAGCGTTTCGCGAGGTGCAAGGGTAGGGTGATCAGCTGCAACTCTAGACACCCGCCCCCGACCATACTGAGGCTTTTGGAAGCAGCGATTCATTTACCGGATAGTCAGTTGATTTAAGCTGACTATCCTTCGGACTGCACCTTCACGCACAATCCTCATTTCATCGATTCAACCATACACTTGGAAACACTAGACTCCAGTTTCCCTCTTATTCAAGCTCATCAGTATTGTAATGGGTCCGGAGTTCGAATCCCGGACGGGACGTTGGACGTGCACTCTGATGAGCTCCAATAAGAGCAAAACTTGAGTCTAGTGCTTCTGAGTGTATGGTTGAATCGATGAACTGAGGATTGTGCCTGAAGGGAAGTCCGAAGGATAGTCAGCTCAAATCAATAAAAAATCAATTATCCCACATCACTACTCACAAGTAACTGTAAGTCAAATACGAAATAGTCATTTGTTTGAGTTCGTTTTGTGAGTTTTGTATCACTGGTCATCAGGTCGTGATTCAACTTCCGTTTGTGCTAAAGAGTACTGGCCACTCTGACCAGTGCTGGAGCAGGCAGAATAAAGCGGTTATGAATCACTGACGCCTAATGTACCGAGTTAATAATGATTCAGAAATTAGTTCAGGCCAGAAATCCTTTGAAATCAGAGTTTTTTCATGTCATTTAGGGAACTTATGCTTATTAGTATTGTCCCACATAAATCAACATAGCACTAATTGATAGGGGAACCACAAATATATACGGAATAGGTTGCAATTTTCATTCTGCTTGTGTGATGCGTTCCAATCTTCACATATCAGAACTATTCTTAGGGGACAGAACTTTGATGAAAAACTTGTCGCCTGAAACTGTGCCCCCAGAATCCCCAGTACGATCGGGGGTTGGTTGTCTAGGGTTTCGACTGATCACCCTTTCCTTACACCTTGCGAAATGCTCCCATACGAACAAACGTCACAATATAAATATGCCAGATTTCTTGGTGGAAAACAACCTTGACCATTGGTTTCATCACTTTTAACTTAAACGAACTCCTTGTAGACTTCGCAGGAACTGATCATATATGGACCGGTATTCCTCGATAATCTTGATTGAACTTTGCAGTCTTTCGCATTTCACGACAGCCTGTACTAGTGAAAAATGCCTTCAGCAGGTTTGTTGAAGAACATTACTGCCTAAGATTTTAGTAACAAGTATTCACTTATGGTGTCTATCCGCTTTTTCAATACAATGTACATGCTTATCATTTTTCAGCGTTGTGGACTGTTGCATTAACCATACACCCAATCCAGAGTGGCAGGCTGTTTTAAATAACCTGACCCGGAACCTTTAACTAAACGATGGAAGCTAGAAGGCAGTTATATAGTGCTAGTGTGGCTGGNNNNGGCTGGTGTCCTCTTAGGACGTAACAGCATAACCACTAGCATATAACCCTGAACTTTGTATCGAGAGAGATTTCTTCACATGCATTTCATTTATAGATTTATTACGTTACAAATCAAACTCCTGTAATAGAAATAAATGTGTGATGTTAAGCTACTTGAAACCGAAATTCCGACTGAAAATGATTTAGCCTCCAAGTGAAGATCATTGTCTTTCGTATTGATACAGATAAAAATGATTAAAACACATTAGACCTTAGGCAAAAAAGAATGTCGTCTGTGCCATGCTCTGTTGCCAGTTTTTCTTCCGTCTTCACATGCCACCTCTCTCTCGCCCGCGGCCTCGCACAAACTTTGTTCGCTCTTAGACACAAGGGTCCTGTATGGAGTCTGAGCTGGTCCCATCCGATGTACGGCAATCTTTTGGCCTCGTGTGGCTACGATCGACGGGTGATTATTTGGCGCGAACTCGGCGGTCGATGGGATAAAGTGTACGAGTATACAGACCATACTAGCTCAGGTAATTTTAATCCCGGTTCATTCGTCCGGTATACCCCTTTATCGTATCTGTTATTGTTCGTTTGTAGTGGCCCGGTGGTAACGTCACCAATTATCACCTTGGAGAACGTGTGTTCAAATCCCTCCACCGTCTGTCTTTCCCCATTGTGTTGTATGGCAGCCCTCTGGTTGGTCGCTCCTCCCCTTCCTGAAAATTGTATCTTTGTATACGCAATAAAAAGAAGTGAAAATGGAAATGAAAAAGAAAAAGAAATGGCATTGTTTGTTTATTTTATCACACTGTTAATAAACAATGTAGCCATTTTTTTTGCTTGTACAGACAGCGTCTAGGCTAATGAAATCAATAATTTGAAATGTAAAACTCATTTTGACTGACATGCACAATTCCACATACTGTTCTATTCTGAAGCGAACAACTGTTTAGTTGCTGAGTGTGATCGTATCGTTGAAAACATCTATTCCCAGGATTACTGATCATTCATTGTTTAACGAAAACACGACAAAGAACTGTAGTATTCGGCGACATTGGTATACCCCATTCTAATCCTGTATTGATCGACTTGTATTCTGACCTGCATCTGCTCCAGTTCACTTAGACTGTTTCTTTAAGTACACTTAGCTATGTCAAACTTCGCTCCCACAGAAAGTAGCCTTTTTCAAAATATCCATAATGCTGAACTCATTTCTTTTGCAAACCCACTGCAAGGCGTAAGAGTCTCAAAACGTTTCCCGCTTTTATTCCACCAATATCCCCACTTTTTCATTAACCTTGGTTCTTAAAAGTTGTCGCACCTAATTGCCCTCGGCTGCATCCATTTTGTCGAACAGTTTTGATGACTCAGCAATTGGTTGCTACTCTTTTCCACGAATGCAAATTATTGAAATTGAACCGATATATGGTGGGTTTATTGATATTTATCACCGTCCAACTTAGGGGTGCAGAGTAAGCAGGAAGTTTTATGAATTATAAAGCCGCAAAACGAGTAATCATGACGGTGGAACGAGACTTCACCTCCCCCTGATAGGTAAACTAGAAAGCTTCTCGTCCTGGAGCAGATTAATTCGTTCCGTCGCTTGGTGGATAAGTTTTAAACAGATGTTAATGATCATGACCGGATTGGGGCTTGACGAATGGCTGCGTGTGGGAGCTTCATAGACGGACGACCTAATGAGAGCGGAGCACAACGTCGTGCGATTAGTGCAACTGCAGCATTTGCACCTCGAAACAATGACGTTCCAAGCAAATGCAGGGAAGAACCCCAAACGAACTGCAATCGAACGGAGCATGTTGCGTAAGATGAACCCCATACTGGTCGAAAGGCTGCTACGCGTGGGAGGGAGACTAGACAATGCTTCCTTGGCATTCGACGCTAGACATCCGATCATTCTGCCGGCCGGTAGCTCTGTCACCACCTCGCTTATACGCTACCTTCATGTAAAAAATGGGCACGTGGTAACCGACCACCTACTGAACACCATTCGGGAGAGATTTTGGATAACAGGTGGTAGAGCGTCATTAAAGGGGACCATCAGCAGATGTATGTTCTTCAGACAACAAAATGTGGTAACCGCAAGGCAAACGATGGCATCCCTATCCGAACTCAGAGGCAGAACGGGTTGGTGGCCATTCGCAGAGATAGGAGAAAATATTTCAGCCCATTCCATTCAACTTACGCAGTCGGCCTCATACACACATAGACATTTGACGTTCCGATCCCCTTGTATATTTACGCATCAATCCTACCATTTGACTTTGTTTGTTTATCTGCTTCATTTGCACCCTACTTGTTTCAATCGCGACTTGAGCGCTCACATTTGGCTCGCTCGTGTGCAGCATGATAGTGAGCGTGCTGTTCTTGTCCAGACTCATTTTCCTCCATTCAGATTTGTTGAATTACGCTCACAGTAACACTTGGCTCTTGCTTTCAAGTTGTTTCGAGATCACATTGAGGTTTGTACAGTTTTTATTTGCTTATTTGATCGTTTATTAATGCAGTACCGTAGAAACTTGCTGGATCGTTCGTTTTGTTGACGTTTTGGGATCCGAATTCGGCTACGCTTTGCTCCTTGATCTCTTCAGTAAGCACATCAGGATCGCGGCACAAACCCCGAAAACTGTTGTCCGGTAACCCTTCTTTCCATACTTTCAAAAGTAATGGAAAGCATAATAGACGGTGGAATTAGAGAATTTCTTAGAGTCTCAAACTTTCTCGACCCATAGCAGCACGGATTTCGCAAGGCCGGTCATGTTTAACAAACCTCCTAGCGGCGACAGACGATTGGACTAAAGAAGCAGACATGGGGAACAGCGTGCATGTTATATTCTTAGACCTCTCCAAGGCCTTGGACAAGGTACCGCATCAAAAATTATGCGACAAAATCATCCATTGTGGCATAACGGAAGGTTGCTAAGCTGATTGAAAGACTACTTACGTTTTCGTAGCTATCACGGGAGAGTCAACATGGGGCTTTCAAGCCACTACTTATTCCGTAGTGGAGTACCACAAGGATAAATTCTAGGTCCCTTGCTCTTCATACTGTCTATCAACGACTTAGCGGGAATATTAACAACTAAGTTTATCCTTTACGCGGATGATTTCATGATCTGGCGCGTATCAGAAAAGATGAGGACAGAGTGAACCTTCAACGCAACCTAGGTGAGATCGGACGAAGGGGATTCGAAAATGGTTTTCCCTCAAACCAATCAAAATACCATGTAGTACACGTCAGGGGAGAAACCGACGGTAGATACTACCTTAACTCGGTGCCACTGACGGTAGTTAAACAGGAAACAGATCTAGGGTCGGTTCTGTTGGATCGTCCAAACTTCTCACAAAACTGCGCTAAGCTAGTGAAACGAGGTAGCCTGGTGTAGAGCGTAATAACCCGGAACCTGGGAAGACTGGAACCCAAGTGCTTCAGAATGTTATGCGGAATCTACATAAGACCCCACCTTGAATATGACATTCAAGCGTGCCCCCCCCAAGCGTAGTATTAGACATTGAAACACTGGAAGCGGTGCAGAGAAGAGCCACCAAGCAAGTCATCGAGCTATCGCAACTAAGCTACGAAGATAGACTTAGGCGACTCAACCTCTTCACTCTTTCCTACAGGAGGCTTGGAGGGAGCTTAATATTGATACACAAAATATTATCAACGCAGAGTCACCCAAACGGCGAACTAATTGCACTATCACCGCACCGCAACTTCGAGGGCACTCTAAGACCATCTTGCACCAGCAGAGTAGTACTAACAGCAAACGGTTACATTTCTGCGTGCTGGGCGGTGGTGGACCAGTGGTAACTTCAGCAAATTATCACCCCGGGGATGTGTGTTTGAATCCCACCAACACCGCCTGGCTTTCCCCATTGTGTACTGAGTGGCAGCCCTTTGATTGGCCGCTTTCCCCTTCCAGAAAACTGTACCATTGTATATTCAATAAAAGGAAGTAAAATAAAAAGATAAAAAAAGATAAAGGACATATCCGCTTGGAACTCGTTACCCGATGTAATGGTCTTCGCGCCTACCACAGCGTGCTTCATGCAGAGACCAGATAGATTCGCCGTGCGCCTCACTTCGGCAGTGGACAGCAACCTTGAGTACCTTCGAAGTAATGTTAGGTGAACCTCTAGACTGTCCACGCAGCACACCTCGTAAGGCGTGCAAATTGGTCCAGCTAACTGACTTCAGATCACTAACATGCGGAATCGTCGAAAATTAACCTAGCAACCTCTTTTATTTTTGCTTAAACTTTTGGATTACAAGAATAAACGAATCGAAAACAGAAATTTCCGAACATCAGACTTTTCCGTATAGATCAAGAAACAGGCGAAAATACAAGCCAAAAATATTTCTCCGCCTGTAAACTGGACATTGGACATTGGACACTGAGCGGACAAGAAGCCGACTGCAAATCAGGCACCACTTCTTCTCAATCAGAGTAGACCCAGCCTGGAACCGGCTTCTGGCAACAGGAATGTCATGCCGATCGGTCCAGACCTTTAAGTGCGAGTTAGACCTAGCGTGGAGCTCCCTTTTTCCGGAATTATGCCAAGGATAACTCACCCTGACCCCCAAGAAACAAAAGCTCCGCAATCTCTTTTTCCTTTCCCTTATTCCAGATAATTCTGGAACGGATAAACTAGTAATAGTACCAACTCGCAGGCGAGTTAGTCCCAGGACAGAACACGCTACTACCAGGACACCTCACGGGCGAAGACCTCCTCACGTCCGGCAATTTGAACTTGGACCTGACCTGACCTAAACAAGCACAAGTCAGCAG